TTACTGAGATAGTAGATTGCCCTTTCCTTCCCGTCATCACCATCCTGTGCCAATAAACAGCTAACCACTTCATATGTATTTGCCAAATAAAGTTTGAGTGGCCGACCTTGTTTAGGAGGCATCAAGACTGGAGGGTGAACCAATGCCTGCTTGATAGCATCTAAAGCCGTCTGTTGGTCGGGACCCCATTCAAAGGCATTTTTTCCAGCTTGCAATAATTTAGTAATGGGTCTGACCTTGCCAGCAGCATTAGAAATGAAACGCCTCAAATAGTTCACCTTACCCAAAAGACTTTGGATTTCTTTAACCGTCTTGGGTGGCCGACTGTCAAGAATGGCTTTAGCCTTATTGGCATCGATTTCAATTCCTCTCTCATGAACTAAAAATCCTAAAAAGCTCCCGGCTGATATTCCAAAAGCACATTTGGTTGGATTCATCTTCAGCTTGTACTTCTTCATTCTTTCAAATGCCTCTTCAAGATCTCTCAAATGTTCAACAAAACTGGCAGACTTAACAATAACATCATCAATGTAAACTTCCATAGATTTGCCAATTAAATCATGAAAGATTGAATTCATGGCTCTTTGGTAAGTTGCCCCTGCATTCTTTAACCCGAATGGCATGACTGTCCATTCATAAATACCTAAAGCCCCTGGGCATCTGAATGCTGTCTTAGGAATGTCTTCTTCTGCCAAGAATATTTGGTTATAACCTGCATAACCATCCATCAGACTAAGGATTTTATGCCCTGCTGCTGCATCTATCAACATGTCGGCCATAGGCATCACATATTCGTCCTTAGGGGTAGCTAGATTCAAATCCCTGAAGTCGATGCATATCCTTATCTTACCATTTTTCTTGACCACTGGCACAATGTTAGCTAGCCACTCCGCATAACGGAAAGGTTGAATAAAACCCATTTTGAGGAGTTTTTGGATTTCTTCCTTGATTTGAGGCATCAGATCCGGGCTCATTCGCCTTGGAGGTTGTTTGTAAGGTTTACAACCTTCTTTGATAGGCAATCGATGCTCTATTAGACTTCTTGTCAAACCAGGCATCTCTGAATAATCCCATGCTAAACAATCAATGTTGTTTCTAATAACTTCGAGCATCATTGTTTGTTGCTCTTTAGACAAATAACCACTTAACCTGATCACTTTTGGAACCAATTCGGTTCCTAAATTAAACTCCAATAACGGGTCTTGTGATGAAGCTGTTGGTTCTGTTTTTTCTAATAAGTCGGGCCAACGAAATTGTTCATCTTCTTGGAGGTGAACATCCAGAATCTCTTTACTATTTTCTGCTTTATGTAATAATTGCTTTAAATAGAACTTATTAATAAGAGAACTACATACTTCTAAGCTTGTATCTTCCATTACAAACAAATTATACGGGAATGGGTGTGGCTTTATCATGAGCCATACAATAAAGGTGTTCTTTTAATAGAACATCGAGTTCTGGCCAGTGACTTTATAACCCTTGATTGGGTATTCCCTGGCCATGTACAACTGAGACATCGGAGCCACCTGACTGGAATAAAACACTGACTCTTCAACTTGTTCTGTTACATCGAATGGATTATCATTCGCTTCCATTTTGAAGACCTGATTTCCTTCCCAGAACATTAATTGTTGGTGCAAGGTTGATGGCACACATTGAGAGGCATGAATCCAGTCTCTTCCCAGCAAGAGAGAGTATGTAGTATCTGCGTCCACAATAAAGAAAACGGTGGAGATCTTCTTTGGCCCGACCTCGATCGTGGCAACCATCATGCCTTCAGGCTTAGTCGGCTGCCCTGTAAAACTTGTCATTTCGAATTCCACAGGAGACAGATCATGAATTCCTTTCCCTAACTTCTTGAGGGTCTTCAATGGCATAACATTAAAGACTGCTCCATTATCGACGAAAACCTTTGTGATTGGTTTCCCACAAATGTGAGCATTAACATACAGAGGTTTCAAATGGGAAATCGCACCCTCTGGAATAGGAGGAAACACGATCGAAGGTGCCTCCGTTTGAGGCTCGGAATCTGTAGTCTTTGCCCACTCTGTTTCCTCTAATTCGTCATCTGCCAAGAATGCCCATAAAGGTTCATCCAGAGTATCATCTACCAGACTTGCCCACATCGGTTCATCACTCATCTGATTAATCTCTGTCATTCGACAAGGGATTCGTGGTCCCAGACGAGATTTAACAGATCTTGAACTTTCCTCTGTAATTACTACTTCTTCCTTTGTCATATCCCGAGACTGAGCCGTCAAAGATTCAATACGGAATTCTTCAAGAGATGGATTGATGTTGATCCGTTCACAATGTTGGCATCTAAAACCTTTAATTATTTCATCTGCCATTCCTTTACCTTTCCCTTGTCCCGACGAACCTCCTTTGGTATAGTCGGAAGCACCTAATCGGTCGTTCAGTTGCTTTCCTGAACAGACCCGATTGGACCGACTTTTTGGAGATTGCATGACTGCTCCTTGCTCATTGGTCGTCTGTTCTGTAAAGACCCGAATAGACTGATCTCCTACCAAGCAGTCGGCTGCGTTTTGCTCGTCGGTTAGTTGTTTTGTAAAAACTCTAATGGACCGACCTCCTGCCAAGTGGTCGGCTGCTTTTTGTTCGTCGGTTCGTTGTTTTGGTGAAGGAACTCGTTTCCCATACTTTGCAGCATACCTGCGTTTGGCATTGCGAATCTGTGTACGATTCATACCTGGGAAACGAGGATCTATATCAACGGGTAAAGGCTTTTTATTTCGAGCCCAATTGTTCCCGACTGATCCTGTTTTTCTGGTCGGGTGGTCACGTACTACAACCCTTTCTTTCACCTCCACATTAAACGAACCGTCTGGTCGGTCCCATTTTTCAGCGACTGGTCTTTCAACAACTTTGAGTCGTTCTTCCGGTCGGCCACTGTTTGGCTGACTTCCCTTTTTAGTTCCAGGGTTTGCCTGAGTTCGTTCCCCTGTATGTCCATCATTGGCCGAACTTTTCCCTGTTTCCGAACTTGGTTGGATGTCAACCATTGCCGTTGTTACTTTCGGAAATGGTTGCTGGTCTACACCTAGAGTGATGTATTTGAGCCGACCTGTCTTAATGGCTTTTTGAATTTCCTTCCTGAAATGAGTACACTGACTTGTATTGTGTGTGAAAGAATTATGCCACTTACAATATGGTCTCCCTTTGATTTCTTCTTTAGTGGCCAATCTTTGCCCCTTTGGAATACGGATCTGCCCATCAGTCAGTAGGATGTCAAAGATTTCATCAGCTTTCGAACTATCAAAGGTCGGTTGCTCTTTTCCTTCAGATCCTGGAACTGGCTTCAATTTAGGGCATACATAAGGTTTTCCAGAAAGGATTTCGGCTGCCATCTCTTCTGACTGATTAAAATCAAAGTCACATGTTTCTGTTCCCATACTCGCCATATGTTGGCCTCTATTACGCCTGTTATGCTGATCTTCTTCTCTAAACAAAGATTCTAAACGTCCTGCCTTGGATGCAAGACTTGCCAAATCCTCAATATCCAGGGCAGTGAGTGCCTTTCTTAAACAAGTATGCATATTCCGGACCACTAAATTGGTCATCTCTTTCTCACTGATTACCGTAGGACATCGTCCCTTCATCAATCGCACCCTTTCTATAAATTGTGAAGCAGATTCTTCTGGATACTGCCTCAATTCCAATAAATCTGTTAAAGAAACAGTCGGTAAAGGATTGAAGAATCTAGCATGAAATGCCGTCTCCAGTCCTTCCCACGTCTGAATTTGTCCAGGGGGCAGACTTGCAAACCACGAAAACGCGGTTCTAGTAAGAGATAAACCAAACAGTTGCAACTTATAAAAAGGGTTATTACCAACTTCTCCCAATTGTGCTGTGAACCGACCAACATGTTCTATGGTGGAAGATCCGTCTTCCCCTGAGAATGCATGAAAATCGGGTGGTCGATAATTCCTTGGGAGAGGGTGTTCATTAATGACTCTTTCTGGGAAAGGTTTCTGATATGCAGGGCGGTTAGCCATCTGAGGAGTTAATCCATACTGATCCCTTAATATATGTGCAAGCTCATCAGGATCTACATGAAAGCGTTGATGATCAGGAACATGGAACGGATCCTGCACAGGAATATGAACAGGATCATGTATATATCCTTCAGGCCTGTCCTCCCTTGTATTGTTCGTCTGGGGATTGGTAACCCTTGGTCCCAGTGGAACAGTGTTGGGAAAAGTCAGAGGAGACTTTCCCCTATCCATTCGGTTGGGATTTGTGGCACTTGGAAATGTACTATCCACGAATGATGGCCCTGCGAAATTTGTCTGTAGTCTGGACGGTGATATTCCTGGTGGAGTTTGAGTGGGTTGAAGACTAACCCTTGACAATGCTTGATCTATCATGTTCTGCATCAGACTCTGTTGCTCACGCAACATGTTCGTTTGTTGCTCACGCAACATATTCTGCATAACCAAAGCGTGCTGGTTGTTCATTTGTTGAACATAAGACCACCAATCAGTTGGTGGTTGTGGGATTTCCCCGGCATTTGGCACAATAGGTGGTGGAACGGATTCTCCCACCGGTGCCGAAGATGATTGAGGTTGTGAACCTGCCATATGGACCCTTCCGATGATACGGCCGGATCTAAGACGTATGAAATTATCGCCGGAATTGGAATGAACAATTTTGTCTTGCTCCCACTGTGGTCGCCAATTTGTTGATGTATTTTTTCAACAAAAATAAAGTAAAATTCAAAGATATAGAAAATATCCTTAAACTTGATTAATTAGTGCCTGAGATTAGGAATCTCTAAACACTGTATGGTACAGAAAATAAACTGGAAAATAAAAGACTGAAATTTAAAGTGGTGATCCCCAAATCTGACTTTGCTTTGTTGAAGTTGATTGAAGATGTCTTGCCAAATGATTATCCAAGCCTTTAAATATTCTCTGGAAACCGTACCGAAAACCGTCACCCGAACGGTTACAACGACTCCTTCCCAACCGTCTTCCAACCCTTCTCATGCTGACACGCGTCCCCAGCAGACCAAAATTATCCCTATATTTCACTCTTTGAGCCGACCACAGACCTTCCGCTCTTTTGGCCCGACTGCCAATCTACAATAGTATGGGTCCGACCGCCAATCCTCCCGACTTGCGAACCATCTGGCCTGAGGTCTTTCCACCTTGAGGACTTCCCGACCTGAAAACCTTCCGACTTGAGGTTTCCGCCTTGAGGACTTCCCGACCTGAAAACCTTCCGACTTGAGGTCTTTCCGTCTTGAGGACCTCCCGACCTGAAAACCTTCCGACTTGAGGTCTTTCCGCCTTGAGGACTTCCCGACCTGAAAACCTTCCGACTTGAGGTCTTTCCGTCTTGAGGACTTCCCGACCTGAAAACCTTCCGACTTGAGGTCCTTCCGCCTTGAGGTCTTCCCGACTTGAAAACCTTCCGACTTGAGGTCTTTCCGTCTTGAGGACCTCCCGACCTGAAAACCTTCCGACTTGAGGTCCTTCCGTCTTGAGGACCTACCGACCTGAGGTCCTTCCGTCCTAATGACTTTCCGTCTTGAGGACCTACCGACCTGAAGACCTTCCGACCTGAGGTCCTTCCGTCTTGAGGACCTACCGACCTGAGGTCCTTCCGTCCTAATGACTTTCCGTCTTGAGGACCTACCGACCTGAAGATCTTCCGTCCTGAGGTCCTTCCGTCTTGAGGACCTACCGACCTGAGGTCCTTCCGTCCTAATGACTTTCCGTCTTGAGGACCTACCGACCTGAAGACCTTCCGACCTGAGGACTTTCCTTAGTAATAAACCTATTTTCCTTGATTTCCTCATGGTACCCTTCAGTCAGTTCAATCAACTCTATTGCCAGGCCCATTCTTCTTTTTACCTTGGGCTTTTAACCTAATTCTAAATTTCGTACGTAACAACTATATTGTGTCTATTTGTGAAATACAAAACACCTTTTTCCAAAAATATTAACAAATTAATTAGATGTAATAATAGAATTCTTAATTTTTTATCAGACAAGTTCATAGTGTCCACGTATTAACGTAAATATTTTACTACCCATTTATATACAAACAAGTAATTTTCTATTTTGAAATATAAGCAAGAAAAATTTATTAATTTTTCACAAAATTAGTCAATCTTGAATGATAAAGTGTGTTTACATTTAGTTGGTAGATTTTTCATTCTTTATTGATTCATAACTTAGTTATTTTCAAAGATTATTTTGATATAAAATAATTGTGTAAAAATGGAAATTTACATTTATATACAATACGGCAAAATACTTAAAGAGATCTCATTAAATAAATATATACCACATTTTCATATCCAATTTATCACAATATAAGAGAATGTATTCATTAATTAGTGGCTGTAATTTATAATTTTGGCATGAACTCATTTATAACTATGTATAATAAAAATAAATTTAATATTCTTATATTTAATTCAGGTATTCGTCACATATCTGGGAAAAAAAAAGTACTTTTTGCACAAATAGTTTTTGTCAATATGGTCACACAAAATTTTTATTACATTTTTATGAAATACATCGAATCATTTCATCATTCTTAAAAGTTAACACTTCTAGAACAACGCTAAGTTGGCACAGAAAAATTGATGCGGTATGCTATGGAGATACATAGTCACCAAAATCTGTATCAATATTAAAAACACATGTTATATGCCAATAAGATTCACTACAATTGCGCCAGCTTGCGCTCCGTTTCTTGGTGAGCGCAAACAATAGCTTAAAAAAATTGGTATGTGCCGAAAAAATGCACCACAATTGTGCCGACGAGGGCAAACAATGGATGGTAAAACAGCTGGTACGCACCAAGAAGATGATAGATACACAAAAATTGCACCAAGGAGCGCTCCATTTCTCGACTCATTTTGTGCTATACTGGCATAGATTTCTTTGTGTCCTGTCATCTCCATTAATTGCTTCATCAATTCAATTTAGGTGTTTATTTTCTTGTAGTAAATTAAATTTACATCACTACAAAAAAATAATCTATTTGTGACGGAATTCCGTCCCTAAAGTTCACGTAGCTAACGTAATTTCATTCCTAATTCCGTCTCTAATGTCATTAGTAACGAAAAAAGTAGATTTAGAGATAAAAAAATTTTGTTACAAAGATGATTTTTTCTTGTAGTGCATACATGCAGACTTAGATTTCTGTCGGAACGATGGAGAAAGAGTAAGCAAAGGAAATGGCTCCTAGAGCCTATTTGCTCCTCCATAGGTTCAGGTTCGGTGTAAACAATCCCGTGTGGAATTTTGTTTCGATACTTATGCCAATAAGATTTTTTATGAATCTTCCATTTTAAGTCAATACAACATTATCATGTTTAATTCAATCATGGCTGCTACAATTTGGCAATTTAGTTACATACAGTTTTCATGATACCAATTATTGAGAGAAAGACTGACAGTGAAGTACCTAAAGCGCATAATAGCTACAACTATAGAAAAACTGATAATGGATTATAGGAATATTGGGCAAATGCTCTGGGTATTTTTCTGCATTCCCAAGCGGAGGTTGACGCCACAAATTATGAATTTCTCTCTCTAAAATTATATAAATGAATTTTTCAAAAATACAAATTGATATGGTGAAGGTGGAGTATAAAGTGGTGTTATCTGGTTGAAAAACATAAAATTTTGAACAAAAATAAATATAAAAATTCCCCAATTTTCCCCAATTTTTGTTGGTGTGATAGATATTAATTCATTTTAGGTCGCATAATTTGTACATGTATAAACTCGTTTTTCGTGTTAGTGAGAAAACTACTAAGTTGAAACTTTCTATGAATTATAAGATAAACTCTCTCACAAACAACCAAACATTGGAGTTGAGTGAAATTTCGAAGAATTAAGAAAGAACTGAATAACAAATAGATTTACAGGTTTAATTAAAAGACAAGTTAAAGTAAACAAAATAAGACTAGACTGGTAATGAAAAAATATGAATAAAAAGACAATATTAATTATATTGATGTGTTCACTCATGTTGTAAAGACGATGACAATTAGATTGGCCTTCGGCCTAGTAGCATCTAAGAATTTGGTGTTGGAATATTTAAATGTCAAGACAATCTTCTTTCATATAACTATTGGGGATTTATGTTTGCGGATAAATAATTAATGGTTGTATTTTCTTAATAGTTCGAGCTTTTAGGTGAGACGATCATTCTTCATCCGACATGGTATCAGAGCCTAGGTTAGGTCTCGAGAAACAAGTGTGCAATATTTTAGAAATCACGAGTAATTTGTTTTTTTGAATTTTAGAACCACGAGAGTTTTCAGCAAATTCGAAAAAATACATCGGGACTTTTTACTATATTTGTTAAGTATGTTAAGCTAAATAAATTTACTAAAATTAGAAATGAGTTATCTTTTATGAGAGTGACAAAAAAATCATCTGTAACAAAACAGAGAGAATATATTTTTGTTTTCAATTACAATTCAAATCTACCTTTAATGTACTTGTATATATATAAGAATACACGTCTTTTTGATAATCTCTGCAAAAATCTTCAATTGATTGATTAAATATAATAATGGAATGCTTAATTTTTCAATAACAATACACGTCTTATTTCAAAATTTTATTTTTATATAAAATAATAATATAAAAAATTTACTATTTCAAAAAATTAGAATTTAAATTTAAGTAGGACGTGACAAAAAAATATTTAACGAGATCTTAATAAAATAAATATTTATAGTTTTGTCGTATTCAATTTATCATGATATATAAACACGCATACATTGACTAGTGATTGTTATTTTATCACGATATATAAACTCATGTATAATTATGTATAACCAATTTAAATTTAATATTTTATATTTATTTTAGGTATCAATAATTATAAGTTTCATCACGTCTTTTGCAAAAAATAAAAAAAACACCTTTAAATGGCGTAATATTTTTGTTAGTGTGATCGTACATATTATGATTGCATAGATTTTTATTATATTTTTTAATTGTAAATTTACAAATATATAAATGAATTATTCAATCATTTTTGCATACAAATAAAAAAAATGAAAAAATATAATATGTTGAATTGGTCCACATTTGTTTCAAGTTTTTAAAAAATAATAACTAATAATAATTATTATTATTACTTGTGTAATGATTAGTTTTTAGGCATTGTAAGAATAAATACTACGAGTGTTTGTTTATTATTTTAGTTTAAGAATATAAAGTTTTTAATAAAAAATACATATATATTTTGAAATGTTATATTTTAAATAATAAAATAAATACTTTATTTACTATTATGTTAGAAGGAAAGCTTATATGTTATGATAGAATGAATTGGACGAAAATATTTTGTATTGGTAATATAAAAAATAATACTATTTTGTATTAAATTGTTGATTTTTTTAATTGACCAAGTTTATATATTATACTCTCTTCGTTTGAGTCAAATGTATTCATTTTGTCATTTTCGTTTGTTAAGTACTTTTTGCATCACTTAATTTGTTTATTATTTTTATTTCTCTCCATCTCACATAACCTGTCATTTTCTTTTAGTGAAATACAATGATACACTTTAATCGCATTTTAAAATTCATAATTCATATTTTTTCATTTTAATTAAACTATTTAGTCATATTAATCTTAATTTAAAATTATTTTTATTAAATTATAATTATTTGTACTAATACACTTTTTAATTATTCACTGATTACACAATACCTAAAACTCTGTGTCTAAGCTAAAGGGGACAAATTAGCTGAGTCGGAAGGAATAAAAAGTATTTATTTTTCTTTTTAGTAAAAGTACCTCCTAATTAAATACTTCCTCCGTCCCACATAATGTGCTTTTATTTTTTATTTTCGTCCGTCCAGCATAATTTGTCTTTTTTCTTTTTAAATATAATTATACACTTTAAATATATTTTAAATTTTAAATTTTAAATTTTATAATTTTTTTAATCTTAATTAAATTATTTAGTTATCTTAATTTTTATCTATAAATATTTTTACTATAAAATAATTATTTTTATTAATACACTTCTTAATTACTTATTCATTATACTTTACCCAAATTCTCGTATCTACAGTAAGGTGTCCATAGTACATGGGATGGAGGGAGTACGATTAATGTTAAGGGTAAAAAGACTTTATATTTATATATTTATGATAACAGAAAAATGTCCATTTGTTATTGTATATTAATTTGCAGGGAATTTTATTCGAAAATCAGTGAGTAGATTTTTTATAGAAGAATGGTCAGATATAGCAATTATGTGGTTGTAGACCCTGGATAGTTATCACAATTATTTATACTCTTTTTACTGGTGAGTTTCCAGGTCGAACACAGGGATTTAAAGTCATGAATTTCAATATTAAAAATCTTGGAGAAGCGACGAAGAAACAAAAGGGGAGTCCGCTTCGAGCGGAGAACCTTCAACTACTGAAAGCAGTAAATAAAGCAGTAAACATGAACGGGGGTGAGCGAAGCGAAAGTGATAGGATTGGGATGCGAGCGAGCAGC